AGAGAAGCTACACTGTATGAGGTAACTTTCATCTCAACTAATAGTTTATAAAACTTAATTTTTAAACCTATTTCATTATCTGTGTTAGGGTAGTGCAAAACCTTCAACTTTATTATGACTGTTGCTGAAATACTTCGGTTAATCTGGCAGGATGCTGCTACAGCAAAGTACAAGAAAAGTTGAACCACAGTGACTGCATCAGCCTTGCTACTCTGGGACAGGGCAAACCAAGAACTGAGATCTCCACCTGTGTTCTCAAAGCAGGAAACTAACAACGGTACACTCAAACCCACTGATTTCTTACGTGGCTTAATGTCTCTGCTGATATCAGGAAGAAACCAACTGGAATGTCAAATAGTAAGTGGCTCTGCGAGATGCTCTGTCCTCAGAAATGTAAGTTACATGTTTTCCTATTCAGCAGCAGTGTCATCTTCACTGCTATCGTTCAGAGATAGCACAGAGACTTCAAGGTGTCACACTTAGGTGAGCCACAGGCAACTGGAAAGAGGGTAACAAGAGTAACTGGAAATCACAGAATGGTTCGGGTTGGAAGGGACCTTAAAGATCATCTAGTTCCAACCCCCCTGCCATGGGCAAGGAAACCCTCCACTACACCAGGTTGCCCAAAGCCTCGTCCAGCCTGGCCTTGAACACTGCCAGGGATGGGGCATCCACAACTTCTCTGGGCAAAAATCACAAGAAATCCCTCCTCCCACAACTTGGTTAATTATGTGAACAGCACACGTTAGCCCCACTCACTCCCTCAGTATCTAAAACACTCCAGAAGGGAAGGAGCCGAGAAGCTTTCCTTCCACTCCAGCAACAAGGGCAGCATTCAAAATGGGGGTGAGGAAGGACAGATGTTTACACAAGTCCAAAATGTGATAAAAAAATAAATCCAAGCACATGCCACATTCCTGACACACAGATCATCTAGTAATTAACATCTTAACTGTTCATCTGATTGACCCCTCTGAGGACTATACAGTACTTAAAACACACTCCTACTCAAATGCCAAAGACAATGCAAGGAAGAGGTGCTAGTGTCCAGCACTTGCAAGATGCCCAGCCACCCTGTCTCAGTGAACAGAACTTCACAACAAAAGCCCTAAGGAAAACTGCAGCGGGGTGTAGGACAGGGCGTACACTGTCTACTCTCTTCAGGGTTGCTTTTTCAGTATCAGTGGACTCCTTTAGCAAAGCATCCTTGCAGCAGAAGGCACAACACACAAATCTCAACAGAAGTTCCAACTCAGGTGTTGCCTGGGCAGGAGGTACTGCACAGACAGGGTGAAAGGTGCTCTCCCCCTACTTGGTGGAAAGGCAGAGATCACTGTTCACAGGAAAATTGATTATCCACAGCCACATTCCTCCTCACAGAACCACATTAGACACGACTCTTTTACCTGATTGGCTGCACCATCCCCATACAACGTCAGACAGATTTCATTTTTACCGAAGTATTTACAGGCCAGTGCGATCCCAGCTCCAAGAGGAACCTATCACAGGGTACAGGACAAACCAAAATTTTAGAACAATGCTTAGAGGGGTTGGACATAGGCAGATTGTGAACTGTAAAGGGACATTTACACTGCTAGAGATCTGCTCAACAAACAAGTTGTTAACAACCCACTTCCATTTGTTCCAATCTGTATCACAGCCAAAATACAAACATTAACGATATTCTTGATTTGGTTCATTTTTGCTACAGTTTACAAAACAGTGAGCAAACCAGAAGAGACACATAATGGATTTAATAGCCATAAAGCAATGGTATCTGCATACAAGCTCACACCACAAAAAAATGAGAGGAAACACCAGCACAGGACATAAGCCAAATTCAGCTTGTGCTTTAAAGTAGAAGTCATATATATATATACCTGAGCACCAACAATACCATTGCCACCATAAAAGTTTTTGGTATACATATGCATTGATCCTCCTTTTCCCTTCGCACATCCTCCTTTTCGACCTGCAACATGAAGGACAAGCAATTTATTTTTTCGGAGGAAAAATACTACGTAAATGGGAACATCTAACTCAATTCCTAAAGGTAATAACACTAAGATCACACTGTTGTCATTAGATCTATGTGGAGTTAAGACACAATGGCCTCTCCCCAGAGGGTTTACAGTTAAACATATGACAAAACAAATAAGAGAAGGGAAAAAAAACAGAATGATAATGAAAACACAATTCAGGAAATACAGAATGAGATTAAGAAGAAATTTTAAACCCAAGAAGTTTCAGTGTCATACTATACAAAAGCACTTCCTGATAAATATGGTGTTTTGTTTGGTTGGTTGGGGTTTTTTTAATAGCCAACATGGTCTATATTTCTCATATACGTAACCTGTAAGAAGTATATACAGTCCTTATTTTGGCTTCTGCAGAAAAGTATCAACACTGTTCCAAATCAGTCGCAATAATCTACATTTGTCTTCTCTCTGACAACCAGAAGTAAAAACTACAAAGATATTAAAAAAAAACACCCAAAACAAACCAATAGCTCCCCACTCCAGGATAAACATCAAAAAGTCACCCTGTCCATCTATACTCAAGCCACAGTTTGAAGATAACTAATGGTCCATGGAGCATTACCACAAACTCTATTTAAACGAGCTGATCCAAGAACACAGCATTTCTCATCAGCCCACTCCATTTCTTATTCTCATCTACCTTGTTACTAGCCACAGAGGCTTGTATTTTATTTCTAATGAGCAGAGCGCATTTGGTTGGTTTTTTTTCCTTTACCCTTGATGTTTATTTTAGAAGCTGAATGGTGGATCTCTTTCCAGAATTTGTACTTCTCTTTCTTACTTAATAGTGGATCATTTTTATTATTGGCCTTTCTCATACCTTTCATACGCTTATGAATTGGTTTCTTGCAAGCTTTTATAGCTTCTGCCAGCTAGGGCCAAAGCAAAAAAATAAGTCTACTTTTAATAAGAAAACTATTTTTCTTAAGTGTAATTTAACTTCAGTAATCTCCCTCCACTTTTTCTACAATCATTTCTTTTATTTCAGAAATTATTTAAGAACTCCTGATCGACCAATGTCACTTTTTGCTATACTTTCTACTTTTTTTAGAACACAAAACCATTTCTCAGGGAACTGTCAATTCTCCTGAAAAGTCCTTTTCTATAGTTTGTTTCCTGTAGGATCTTCTCTACTAGTCTTATTTTAGGTGCCTCTGCTTCCTGCTTCTTTAAAGACTTTTTAATTCTATCATTTCCTGGTCATTGTAACTCAGGCCATCTTTCAGTTTGGCATTTTCAGTCAAAATCTTTGTTTGCAAGAATCAGCTCTAGCAGCACTCCTCTCTACAAACTTGGCCTAAACGTCATTTCCTGGAACAGCAGTCTGTGCTGTGGCTGCTCTTTCCCAATTAAAAGAGCCCCACTAAAACCAAGCATAATGCTATAGAAGATGATGTATCTCATGAAAAGGAATAAAGAAAAAAAACCCACATCATCACTGGTATATGTGGTTCCAGGGCCAACATCAGACTTCAGTCATGACAATCTCATCATTTACTCCCTCTCTTATCAGTATCCAGTGACACTTGGTAAAGTCGATCAGCCACTAGATTCTGGGCTTTCATGCACGTTATTAATACACATTCATAACACACACATACATTCTTTGTACACGAAACCACAGCTCTTCTCTACCTCCAAAACATGCTTTCCTATATTAACGTTTTGAGCATGCAAATTCTCAGATCAAGTCTTTATTACACCAATAATTTGTAAGGGCCCTGAAGGCCCTTGTTCGTTTTTCACTTCTGGCACCCATTCACAGATCTCAGAGTTCAGCACCCTGATCCTCTCTCCTCTTCCTTGCTCCACCTACAACCCTGTTGTGAAGAACCATCTCTCCTTTCTGCGAAAGCTTAGATCTGTCTAGATTACCATTTAATATTATTTTTAAATGCTCTTTCCCAAACCATTCAGTTTACCATTACAGGCAGTGTTTACCCGTTTTCCTAAGACTTCCGCAGCATAACTCTAAAAATCCATGTCTGTCTCCTAGGGAGGGTAATGTCCTGTCCGATTCAGAATAAACATCTACCACCAGCAAATTCCATTTAAATAAGCTGCTGCAGCACAACAAATACAGCACATGGTATCAAGAAGAATTTTGTGAATCTGTGCTTTAGGAGCAGCAGCACTTCAATATTCCTTAAGACTTACATTTTATAGTAAAAAGTGGTCGCATGGTAAAATTAGAAAATTGATTTATTCTGCTACATCATTAAACTGCTTCTGAAGCCCCAGTATATTGTGTGCATCAACATAATTGTGAGTTTGAATAAAAAATTCTGACACAAACACAGCAGCACATGAATCCTCATTTTACTTAGCACAAACCTGTAAGTTCGGCAAGAATTTCTCGAACAGGCACTCCTCGCGCATAGGTGAAGCCATGAGCTCTGTAAGCTGTTATCACGTGGTCTGTAGGCTTTATGGCAACTTCCAGCCCTACACAGCAAGCCTCCTGTTACAAAGGAAAAGTAAGCTGAGCAATGAAGAAAAGTACACAACTTCCACAGTCGGCAGTGTGGCAAGAGCTACCTATGAACCCCCATACATCAAAAATCAGCAGAACATAGGAAGAGCACAGATACAGGAAACTGCTTTAAATCCCAAGGGACAGCAGGCCTGGAGCTACAACAGCCTTGGCCTCTAAATTCCAACCTGACTGTGACTAACAAAATCAGACAGGAGGGGAACTAGAAGCTGCAAAAATCTGCAGACTTTTTCTACACTCATCTCCCAAATGAATTATCTAAACAACTGCAATTCAAAAATGGCAGGAGGGAACAGACAGAGAGCAAAGTTTCACCAAGTTCATTAAATTCCTTCTCTTGGCTGTAGCTTTTTAATGATCTATGAGACACTGGAACAAAAGCCATCAATGAGGCTTGATGAGGAGGACATGGGCCTCCAACCATGCTGAATTTTACATACTGCAGTTGATCGTTCCTCACATTCAGCTCATCTTCAGCTGCATCTTGCCTTCTCCCTCTTCCCACAGCTATTTGCAAGACCTCATGGATTTCCTTGTGTGCTCGGACATTGTTTTTAAAGAAATAATGAACTAAATCATGAATCCAGCTATAACTTCCGACATTGTACACAGATACTCGGTTCTAGATTTACTCTTCACTCTATTCAAATCCCTACATTAAGAAAAGTAAGAAAATATAAAACCTCTTGGAAAAAAAAATAAAAAATCTTACTTGACCATCATATAAGTGGCAGAAGCCACGGATGATCTTCTGCTTGTACAGCTGGTCTGACTTCAGCTCCATGCGTCGTATGGTCTGCATTGTCTTGTAGTAATGAAGCCCTTCCTCTCGGGTCATCACTGCTGTGGTACTAGGGCCTTCTTCCAGGCGATGGAGGTCGCATTTCTGCAAAGTTGAACAACTAGTCATTTCTTGAAAGTAATCCATCCTATTTATGAATATCACTTTTTTTTTATGATGTGCCATTTTCAAATTCTGATTTTAATATATTTTAGAAAGAAAGCCAGAAAAACCTAAATTTGTAGGCCAAAATAACCGTAAAGTCTGTGCACTATTTCCAAATTCAGGGAAATAAAAGCTTTACTTTAAATAAAGACAGATTTCTACTCATGAAATGAAGCCCTGTAGTTCCTACTAACAGTAGATAAACCGAAGTCCTCATAAAATACTGGAAAAGCACATTTCCATGGTTGCTACATGCCAAATACTTCGTTAGAGCTACAGAGGCTTAGTGAAGAGACAAGACAAAAAGTTTCTCTTGTGAAAGTTTGTAAGACCTGGTCCTAAGAGTGGACTTCACCTCTTCTACCACCACTTCTAACAAGCAGTAATAAGCCACTGCTGCATGCACCAGCTACTCTGCCAGTCAAACCATAATGGGTAGAGTACAACTTCCTCTCCAAACCATGGGCTCAGTAGAGTTGCACAGAGGGTTGATTTTAGGTACCCACACCAAACAGATAACAAAAAAATAAAAATCAGTCAAGTTCAGTGGTACAGACTCAGCTACTCTCAGTGCAGATTAAATGGCCACAATACTGCTCTACAGATTAAAAACAGTTTATATTAAAGCAGAGTCTCTCCAGAGCAAATCCACTGACACCCAGATGAATCTGATGTAACCCACATGCACACTACTTACTCTTAAGATAGCTTTGCTTCAGAGTTCAAGTAACAATAGAAACCTAGGAGTCTTTTAATCAACTCAGGATGAAATGATAAACCTTGTACCTACTCAGAAGAGACTTTTCATATAAGCATATTTTCCTTCTGCCTGTGAAACAATTTTAATACTTTACAGGCACAGACAAACAGGGAGAAGGTAAAAGGAAAATTAAATAATTTCTTTCAAAATTTCTTCTATCAATTCCTGAATGAAAAGCCAGCACAAAAGCTACTGCCAATAGAAGCATCACTTTTTCCTATGACCTAGCCACCGTGGAAAGCTGACAGAATATACCTTTTTTTTTTTTTTTTTGAGGAGCACCAAGTCAAGCATTAAAAAGGATGCCGTATTTTTGACTCCAAAATCCATATGGACCTCAGTCAGCCGCACACTTGGGGTACAGCAACCATGACTCCATAAACAAAAGGGAGATAGAAAGAAGGGTAGGCAGCAAACACCAAATATTTGTTTAAATGCATTAAGGAAACATTAACAATCTTCCCTCAGAACAGAAAACTGTCTTGGGCTCCTTTGACTTCATTCTCACAGTTGCAGTGCAGGATCACAGCTGCAATGAATCATAACGTCACATTCTTCAGAAACAAGTAACATTACTACACACTGACAAGCACAGTACTTCCAGCTGCATTTAGAAATCAGGCCAGACAGTGAGGGGTTTGGTTCTGGAAATTCAAACAGTATTTTTCTAATTGAAAATAGAACGGGGCAAGTCCATCATGTCAAGATGTACAACAAGTGCTTATGCAGAATACCAGTATTAAGTGTTCAGCTGCTTTACCTTAAGTTCAAATGTAGCTTCACTTGCAAAGTCTGCATAGTTACGCGATGCTACCATCACTCGAGATGCCTTAAAAAAAAAAGACAAAATCAAAACATGAGAAATATTTAAATATAATTATTAAGCAAAATTAAGTGAATTCTCAAACAATTTCTAACAGTACTCTCAAATTGAAATAATTTGTGAATTAAACTCTTCAATGGCATATGCCTATAATTAACTAGAGAGCTTTTATTTTGTATGTATGTGCTAGAAGTTCTTTAAAACCCAGTATTTAAAATTAAGATTAGAAAAAAAGAATAGAATTTAAAATTTGTAATCTTCCTGATTATCTAAAATAAAACCAATAAGCTTTAAAAGACTGTGAAGAGCATAAAAATAAGAAAAAAAATAACTATTTTTCCCTTCACATGTGAGGTTGCCTATATGAGTAGAGACAGCTAATGCAGACTTTGATGGCTCTCTGTACTGGCTGGAATTTTGCCTTGATAGAATAAAAAATTTCTTTGACAAAACCGAACAGCAGACTTCTGGAATATGAACTACTCTCTCTCTTTCCTTTCAGTTAGGAAGAGATGTTGGGAGAATACAAGGCAAAAACAAGGAAGAAAGAGTATCATTTAAATGGGCAATGGCACGGCCACTACTCAAAAACAATATAGAAACACAAAAAGTGACATACGTAAGGATACGTGAAACACAGGACAACAGAAGGGGCAGTGTGGTAGGGGAGAGATGAAAAGGTGGTCTAAAAATACACTACCCTTCTGTCTTAAAGAATGTGCACAAGCTATTAACTAACGAACAACTGGTATTTTTACATAATTTCAGTAAGTTTCACTGCAGCATCAGATACAATGCTCATCAATCCATGCATGCGCAGTGGCCACAGCATAAGGAATGCACTGCATCTTTAGTGGCAAAATTGTATTGCCAATTAAGTTACACACAAACGCTTCAGGAGCCCACTCAACCATGGAATTCATGTGCATTTAGCTGAAGGTTCGTTCTTTCAAATTATTGAAAATATCCAATGTCAACCTGACATTGACCTGGTCTGATTGATAGGTATAAAGCTTGGAAAAAGGTCAAGAGAAATTTCTCAATCCATTTTGGCTACCTACTCTGTTGCCTATTTGATTTAGCAATCCCAATCCACCCCCCCTCTCCCCGCTCCATTATCAAATATTTAGAGTTTTTAATGCAAACTAAGTTTCTGCACTCTTTACCACAATGCATCAGTGCTATCAGTGAGGAAAAGCTATTTTACCTCCAAAGCTGGAAATAAATCAAGAGTTTGGGACTTGCTGAGGTTGGAAGGGACCTCTGCAGGCTCTGGTCCAACCCCCCTGCCCTTAATACTATATAAAAGCAACACTGAGGAGGAGTCTGTGCAGAAGGTCTAACACATGGCCAGTACACATATCAAAACAAAACCTTGATAAGATTGATTCAGGCCTTACCTCACTAACGGCTCCCTAGGTTAGCAGCATTTGAAAGAAAAAAAAAAAAGAAAGAAAAAAGATAAGTAACAATTAGGGGAGAAGTCAGCAAATCATTAGCCAGCTAGAACACTGTAAGAGGTAGCTGCTTTACAGGTAAGCTCTGCATCATGGAAATGCATCTATACACCTTACAATATGCTCAAAGCATATATAAAACACTGCTTTACGGATTAAGACTGCTTCTGTTTATTTGGTAATTTATACCTCCACCATAAATGCATAGGGACAATTCAAAACAGATATTTACATATTTGGTAACCACTAGGGTCCAAAAACCTATATTAAAGATATCCAAACCAGATCTGGTTTGGAACTCCAGGAAAACGCAGTATGTCAGGAGCAGGCCAAGTACTTGCATTAAGGCAAGTACTGGTTTTAGGCATCCATACTGGAAAATTTTAATATAGATTTTTTACTTGTAAATTAGGAAATACTTTAAGATCTATAGTCCCAACACACATAGTTAGACCTTCCGGTAAATCTGCTCTGTTGGGTCATCCTCACGAATCCAGTCACTCACCTGCTTTTTGCGCAAGAAGCGAGTATTAGGTGAGCCACCACAGACTAGCAGGTAACAGTAATGGATTTGCTCCCAATGGCAAAAAGGCAGCTGACTTCCAAACACCCAAAGTACCCTTTAGCACTGACTTGGTCTCACCACTGATTTTTTTTCAGCAGGGTTAATTTTTCCTCATGGCCACAGTTGTTATAATGGAATAAGGAGCACGAAGAGGTAAAAGTAAGGTTTTTCCACACAAAATAGATAACGCACAACAAACGACACACTAATGCCAAAAAACAACAAAATTTGGAAGCAAATTCAGGAAGAGATGAAAAGGGACTGTTGTTTGGGCAAAGAAGGGTGAAGCAGCATAAAAGGTCAGATGGCTGCGCTTCAAACGAAACGAGAAGGGATTGTTCACCCTCTGTTTAGGATCTGACCTGTGCTGACAGCCGAAACGTACTAAAGTAAAATAAACCAAAGCAAAGGACCCCGAAAAGCGTCTCGAGAAGTTAATCGGAACGTTTTACACAGACTAGTAGCA